GTATCACTATGGAAGTAGATTGCCCAATCTTCCTTCCAAGGAGTGGCTGGTGGGTTTGAACCGCCAGCCTTCTGGTTAGCAGTCAAGTGCCTTAGGCAGTATGCTACCAGCGCTCTTTATGTATGTGTATACATGTGTATTATGTATTCTCAGTTTTTATATACCTACAGATATTTATGGGACCTCTGGTAGCATAGTGCCTAAGGTACTCGACTACTAACCAGAAGGCTGGCGGTTCAAACCCACCAGCCACTCATGAGAAGGAGGGATGGGAAATCTACTTCTTTTGTGATACTGCCTCGGAAACCCAAGAAGGGGTCTCTATGAGTCGGGTCCTATTCGATGGCACACAACAACAACAACAACAACACAGATATTTATATATTAAAAACCATGAGTTCAGCTTTACACTACAGGATTCATCCTACTCTTCCTTCTTTCCATATTTGTAACTCCCTTCTCTGATGAGGAGATGCCTGATTCCTGATATCCTTACTATATTTATTCCTTTTTTTACTATAATGCATATAGAGCAGTTTCAGAATTGCTAACTTTTATCACTGTGAGAAATTATCCTTTTACCTTCAGTTCAGTGTTTGTTCTTTTTGCTTTTTGACTAAAGATACATAGTCAGTATTGTGTTCAAGCTATTTTCAGTGTAATTATGTTATGACTGAAATACAATTAGATTCATTTTTTTGCTTGTGTTCTGTTTTAGTTTTTATTTTTCTCATCCTTGTTTATTATTTTTGAGTGTGTCAGACACTGACATGCTTTAATGAAACTACACAGAAAGGTATACAAGTGTCACTAACCTCTACCCCATTCCTTACCCCATTCTTATTTACCTCTTATAGGTAATCAGTATCACTGGTTTCTGGTTTACCCACCTGTTTTTCTTTTTGCAAACATAGGCAGACTGATAACTATTTTCTTGTTTTCCTCTCTTATATGTAAGTACTTACTAGGTATGGTCTAAGAAGCTAACAGTTAAATACTTAGTTGCTAACCTAAAGTGAACCCACTCTGCAGCTCTGTGGGGGAAAGACCTGGTGATATGTTCCTGTAAAGATTATGGCCTAGAAAACCCTAAAGGACAGTTCTGCCCCATCACATGGGATCACTGAGTTGGAATTGACTCAATGGCAGCTAACAACAGTAGGTGTATTCTTTTGGCATTTTGCTATTTCCTATATATCCCCTGTATTCTTTTTTTATACCTACACAGTACTCTTATTAGTAGATGTACTTTAGTTTACTTTATTAGGCTCCTATGTAATGGACATTGAGGTTAGTTCTGGTATTTTCAATTACAGATAATGATGCAAAGAATAGCCTTGTACAAATTTATTTTTATATTTTCAGCATTTTGCTTCATGATAAATTCCTAGAAGTAATATTCCTGGGTAAAAGGGAATATGTAACATGTAGTTTTGTTAAGATATTGCCAAATCTGCCATTTTGCATTCTCCAAGAAGAATTTCTAGGTGTAGTATTCTCTAAATTTTGCATTTAAATTTTTCTTCTATAGCCTTCATTTTGAAGGACAGTTTGGCTGATATAGAATCCTTGGTTCAGAATTCTTGGAGTTGTTTTTGAGTCTGTTCTTTCATGAGTACCTTATTATTTAGTCTGAATTTTTGAGACCATTTTATCCTTTTTTTCCCATTCTTTCCTGAGTTCAATCAGCTCTTTTGATTTTTTCCATTTTTTGGGCACAATTTCTCAGTTTTAATTTTGAATTTCTGATTCATGGAGGTTTTTCATTTTCTCAAATGCTTGTTTGAAAATATTTAGTTCAGTTTGGGGTGGTGTGTTACAAATTTCTTTTGCTTACTGTGTTTTCTTTTTTGAGGGAAAATTAATCAGCTGAGTATTTTGATTTGCATCTTCTAGTTTCTTCTTATGCCAGCTTCTTAGGCTGCTTTTGTCTATTCATGTCAAGAGTTGAGGATAGTTTACCAGATTCATAGCCCAGGAACACCTTCATCTGTTTTTGTTTTTTTTTTTTTTTTCATTAAATAAGGCACCTATTTATTTACGTGTATTTTTTCTTGTTAAGCCATGAGCCCTGTCAGACAAGTAATTGTGTCTTATTTTTCATAAGAAAAGCTATAGCACTGTGCCTCGAACAAACTAGATAATTACATACAGTAAATGCTAAATGACTGACTTGAGGAACTTAAACTGAAGCTCAATTAGTTCCATTCTAAACACTGTCTTTTAAGTAACGTACACA